GACACTTAAGAACCTTTGACTTCTTGAAGATTCCATTAAGACTCCAAAACTATCAGAATCGGGTGACTTTGAGGAAATAGATCTCATACAATTAGTGTTCCCATTGAAGCATTTCTTGGGAACTGTGGGGAATTGTATATGTTTTTCTGAATCTAAGGAAAAATCACCCGAGAAATCAGAAAGGAGAAAGTATTACCATTCTGCTGGAATTAAAGTTTAACAATCAACCTAGAGGGGTTACAACGCAAAGGGATCCACTAACAAATTGAAAGCAATAGCAGGAAATGATAACACTTGGGAGTCCAAAGAGAGCCAGGGGAGAGAGCAGGCAGGAGAAAAGCAGTCAGGTTCTCATCAGTCTTACTTCTAAGGGTTGCCAGGTTGCATGTATGTTCAGAGCCCCATCTGCTGCTACCAGTGAGTCATTCCTGCAAATAAAATAAATATTATATGTATAGTATACTTTATATAAATTCCAGGAGTGATGTTCTGAGAAATAAGTTTTGGAGACAAAACAAGTCCTTAAACTGGCAATTTCTGTAAGTGATTCTGCATAGCGCTGTTCAAATTTGCTGAGCGATCTGAATATTAGGTTATAAAGACTACTTACTATCCACAATGTTTGCCAGCATTTCCAATGCTTATATTCACTATCGGCTACAGTTCTTTGTAAATACTTTAACAGGAGACGTGGGAAGAGAAGAAGCTGTGAATGACCATGTGAAACACTCCAACACAACATCCTGAACTAACCTGAAATCTGGATGAACAAAAGATGTATCTGTTTCGGTGCAAAATCAAGTTTGGGCAAGCAGACAAAATATTTTCATTGAAAACGAACTGGACTGGATTTAGTATGATTCTGGGTTTGTGAATTACTGACACTTTTTACATTATGATCAAAATAGTCATTAATTTATCAATACTATGTTGATTCCTAATGTTTCAGACACAGTGATAAGCCCTAAGGATAGCAGGATGAACAAGATTTTTCTTCCTCTCTCTCCCTCTACTCCAACCACGTGGGCCTCCTTATGGTTCTACAAACCAGGCACAATCCAGCACACTCCTGTCTTAGTGCCTTTACACTTGCTAGGCCCTCTTTCTGGAACACCCTATCCTCAGATATTTACATGGTTTATCCTCAACTCGGTCAGGTCTTGCTCAAATATGACATTAGTCAAATCTCCTTTGGCTGCCCTATTAAAAATTGCAACCTCATCCTCACTAACACTGTCTATCCCACTTCTTTAACATTTATCTCCACCTAACTACAATACATTTTACTCATTTATTATGTGATTTTTATAAGTTCCGTGAAGGCAGGGATTTTTGTCTGTTTTCAGCATTGCTGTATCCCCCAGACCTGACACATAGCTAAATCTTTACTGAATCAATAAATGGGTGAATGTATATAAAAGACACAGTAATCGTTCTTTAAGGGCTTACAAATGGAAAATGAATATTGGCAATAAAATATAACAAGTGATGTGGAAAAG